AAAAAACCTCTCCAAAAAAAAAAAAAAACTAGCCAGTTCTAACGTAATCATAAAAAACTATGTTACATTTACTAACATGAATCATGAGAACATTCAAAGATTTTTGACCCAGCAATTTCCCTTCTAGGACTATCCTGTAGAATAAAAACACTAGGGGACCAGCAGGTGGCGTGGTGGTTAGGACACTGGACACTCCCATAAGGCCAACCAAGGTTCGAGTCCTGGACCTAGTGGGTTGCTTTTTCACTTTCCCTCTCTCTCTCTCTTTCTCTCTGTGTGTCTCTCTCTGGTCAAATTAAAAAATGAATGAATGAACAAATAAAAATAAATAATTATTTAATAAAAAATGGGGGCCAGCAGGTGGCATGGTGGTTAAGGCGCTGGACACTCCCACATGGACAATCACAGTTCACGTCCCAGACGTGGTGGCTTTCACACTCTCTCTGTACCTCTGTCTGTCTCTGTCAAATTTAAATGAATGGATGAATAAAATTAAGTAAATAATTCTTTAAAAAATAGTAATAAATAAAAGCACTAGTACATAGGACATGAAAGTACCAAGACGTTAAGTACAAAGACATTTTTGTAGCAGCAAAACACTGAAAATGATATAAATGCCTACTAGTATGGATATTGCTCAGTAAGTTATGATGTAGCAATGCCATGAAATGTTAGGGCAATATTACTTTATTTATTTATTTATTGTCAATGTTTTTTGTTTGTTTTTTTAAGAATTATTTTCTTTAAATTTATTTATTTTAATTTGACCAGAGAGGGACAGAGCGAGAGAGAGAGAGAGAGAGAGAAAGCAAGCCACCATGTCCGGGACTTGAACCACAGTTGGCCATGTGGTAGTCCACCGCCCTTAACCACCATGCCACTTGCCAGCCGTTTTTAGGGCAATATTAAACAGAGTGAATTGGGGACCAACAGGTGGCATAATGGTTACATCGGTGGACTACCGTGTAATCAACTTCCGTTTGAGTCTTGGACCCAGCAACTTGAACTTACACCAGGCACATGTACGTGTGTGCCCAAAATCCCAAGAGGAGAATGGATAAGAAGGGATTGCAGTATGGCCATCCCTCCTGGGGTGTGTGTGTGTGTGTGTGTGTGTGTGATTTTTTTCCTTTTCCGTCTCTCTCTGTCTCTCTCTCTTTCTTTCTCTCTCTCCAGGGAGCACATGCGTCCTTTAGCAAAAATCTCTCTAAAAAGACAAAAAAAAAAAAAGAGGGAAAAATAAGATACAGAAAAGTGATATGTTGGTTTTGTAAAACATAGTGATTAAAAAGCTCCAAATGTATATCTTTGTGTGTATGATTTTGTTTTTCTTTTAACTTGCCATAGAGCATATGTGCTTACCAGAGTTTTACTTGATTTTTGTCTCAATAAGTATATAGGGTTTTTTTGGGTTTTTTTGGAGAGGTTTTTTTGCTATAACGTGCGTGCACTCGCCAGAGAGACAGAAAGCGAGAAATCACCCCCCAGGGGGGATGGCCACACCGCAATCCTTTCTCCTCCATTCTCCTCTCGGGATCTTGGGCACACACGTACACGCGCCCGGCGTGAGTTTTAAGCCACCAGGTCCGGGATGTGAACCGTGGTCAGCTACGTGGGAGTCCACCGACATAGCCATTACGCTAACTGCTGGTTCCTCAATGAGTATATAGTTTTATAATTACAATCCTAAATAGAAAAAGAGGCTAAAAAAAGGGAAATCATGTATACTCCATACTCTTTATCTACAGTAGCTATTTGTTGCCTATTAGATCAAGTTCAAGCCCTTACCTGAAGTAAAAGCAGGTATAATTTCTATTTTCTAAGGGAAGCATTCACCTGATCCTCACTCTGCTAATAGACAGGCAGTCTGCTGGATGATAGCTATAAGCAAGTACATGTGGCCAGGACTCGGTGGCTGGAGGACTTAAGGGGGATCATGGTCTGATCAGCCCTGTGAAAAGTGGGCATGTGTTCTTTCTCTCTTGTACATGCACATTCTCTATCATGAATTTTTTTTTTTTTTTGAGAGAGAGAGAGATATTTTTGCCATAGGGCACCAGAAAGACAGAGAGAGATAGAAAGTGAGAAATCATCCCCCAGTGACTGGGAATTCAGGAGGGGAAATTTATTCTAGGTTCTGAGATTGGGGAAAGGTTTTTGTTCTAAAACTGTTACGTTAAAAACTGTAGATCGTTTAAGGAATACTTCTCAAATGCCTGCTGTAGTTTACATATTATTCTAGGCCTTGAGAATATAATATTGAACAGTCAAAAATCTATGTTCTCATGGAACTTACCTTATTTTAAGGAGGTCATACAGAGATAACATGAGTCTTCTATCGTACATATTGGAACTTTAAGGCAACTTTGAATACATAACTAATAATACCTTACACATAATAATGTTAAATAAATGTTTGATTGAATGAATAAAAGAGTGCACCAAAGAGCTGGAAGATGCTTTAAGGGGTCATAATCCCAGTTTTCAGGTAGGACCAGCCACACTTTACTGTCATTTCTTCCCAGTTTTTGCAATGGAATAGAAATTTGGAGGCCCTGTTATCTCCCTGATTCCCCATGTGCTATGAGAAGATTTGGCCTGGATGGAAGAAATGAACTTGTGTTTCTCCATCTAATATTAAGTTACCTTAAGTACTGTATTTTGGCACTATAGAAATGTAAAGCACCACTTTTATTTGTTATTTCCAGGGGAGGTGACACCAGGACTATCTCAAGTAGAATATGCACTTCGCAGGCACAAACTGATGTCTTTGATCCACAAAGAAACACATGGACAGAGTGGGACAGACCAGGCTGTTGTCGTGCTTTCCAACCCTACATATTATATGAGCAATGATATCCCCTACACTTTCCACCAAGACAACAATTTCCTGTACCTGTGTGGATTCCAAGAGCCCGATAGCATTCTGGTCCTTCAAAGCCTCCCGGACAAGCAGTTTCCAGCACATAAGACCATGCTTTTTGTACCTCGGAGAGACCCCAGTCGAGAACTCTGGGATGGCCCACGATCTGGCACTGATGGAGCAATAGCTCTAACTGGAGTGGATGAAGCCTATACACTAGAAGAATTTCAGCATCTAGTGCCCAGACTGAAAGGTATCAAGTGGGAATAAAAGTAAAGTCACTGGCCAGATTGCTATTAAAACCTTCCTTGCCTATTTAGTTACTAATTTCTTTTTTTTGGGGGGGGGCGTTGTGAGCGAAATTTTTGCTATAGGGCACATGCACTCACTGGAGAGACAGAAAAGGAGAAATCACCCCTGGGGGGATGGCCACATCACAATTCCTTCTCCTCTGTTCTCCGCTCAGGATTTTGAGCACACATGCACACACACTTAGCATGAGTTTGAAGTCACCGGGTTCAGGACTCAAACCATGGTCAATGATGTGGGAGTCCAGTGACATAACCATTATGCCATTCGCTGGTACCAGTTATTAATTTATTAAAATGACTAAACATTCCCTCAAGCCCCAATGAAGAGATACTAATCTTGACAAAACTGTGCTGTTTGCTATAGGGCACATGTACTTGCCAGAGACAGAGAAAGAAATAGTGACAAAGCATTCCCCAGGGTGATGGCCACACTGCAATCCCTTTGCTTTTTTTTTTTCTTTTTTAATTTTTAAAATTTAACTTTATTTATTTATTTTAATTTGACTGAAGAGGGACAGAGAGAGAGAGAAAGTGAGAAAGCAAGCCACCAGGTCTGGGACTCAAA